TTGTCCACTTTGAGCATAAGCTCTTATGGCTTTGTTTTGGGCTTCTCCAAAAGGCCTCGTACCAATGAAGATGTATCTCTTACTCGTAAACCCATGATCATTTCCTAAATTAGCCAATGTGGGACTCCTCCCAACAATCCTCGACATCTGTAACCACAAGGTTGCAGAAGCTTAAAGTTTTTCATGTACTTTAGTTTTGCATGATTCAGCTTTTGAGTTTTCAGACTTTTAACATCACGTTATCATGGCATCGAGAGTTCATGGCGGTGTTTTTTCGAGTCAAAATGTGAGAATCCCACATTAGTTGGAGACACAACCCCACATTGGTTGGAAAGGAGAACGAAACACCCTTTATAAGGGTGTGGAAATCTTTCCCTAGCAGACGCGTTTTAAAGCCTTGAGAGGAAGCCCGAAAGGAAAAGCCCAAAGAGAACAATATCTGCTAGCGGTGGGCCTGGGCCGTTACACAAAATGACCTATCTTGCCACCTTTTCATCTAATGGTTGAGGTTAACGTTTCCCATGTTCGTTCATTGTTTCCTCTAAAAACTTGACAGGGTGAAGAGTATAAGCTGTTCTGGCCGAATCAACAGGAGTTTGTGAGGATGGCTGCTCGTTTTGGCGCTACAATCGTACCGTTTGGTGCTGTTGGAGAAGATGATATGGCACAAGTAAGTTTGATTCCCCATCCAATTTGATGATATTCGATTACCATTTGGCAGCTCAAGCATAAGGAGTTGTGATAGGACCCCATTCCTAACCACTCCCCACTCGAACCACTCGTTACTAACCGACTCCTTGAGAAGTTAGGAAGACTCGATTTAACCGACCCAATAATTTGAGCTCGTAAAACCATCAGCCAAACTTGGTTAGGCTATCATAGCTCGATGCCCTCACCTCAAACAAGGAGCCATATGAGCCCGAAAACCTATGGACACCTTTCAGAGACGTGCATATTTTTCATGGTGCAAACTTGTCTTTTTGTTCACTACTTTTCTGGTTATTATCATCATCGTCGTCGTCGTATTTCGTATTTGCAGCTGGTTTTAGATTATAACGACTTCATGAAAATCCCTGTACTTAATGACAGCCTCAGAGAAGTAAATGAGAATTCTGCTAAAGTGAGGTAACTGTTCTTCATCATCATGACAAAACATTTTAGGACCTTGCTTCATGTCTTGTCTCATGTTCCTTTTTGAATAAACAAGCATTACAAATGTCGATCGAAGTCGATTCATCTTTCTGGATGTTGAATATACCATGGTTTCAGGGATGTGGGTAGCGGAGAGGTTGCTAGTCAGGTTCTTTTCGTCCCTTTGCTCTTTCCGAAGATACCTGGTCGTTTATATTACCTGTTCGGTAAGCCAATAATAACTAAAGGGCGAGAGGAGTTTCTGAAGGACAAGAAAAACGCTAACGATCTGTATAATCATGTGAAATCCGAAGTCGAACTTAGTTTAGCTTACTTGATTAAGAAGCGAAAGGAGGATCCATATCGAAGCCTTATCGACCGAACGGTGTATAGAGCCATATACTCCTCTCAACATGAAGTTCCTACATTTGACCCTTGAATTTGGTTTTGTTCTTCCATCCCAGCCTGAAGAAGATGCCTATACTATAAACAGTATATTTTGCTCATTTTTCTGATATATTTGTGGATTTGAATAACTAGACTTGGATAAGTTCAATAAAGATTGATATTAGAAACTCCTATGAGTTGCTTACTTCAGGTGCTAACTGAGCGAGTTCATGGTTTTGAATATTCGTGATGGATGGATTTACAAACTAATGGAAGAAAACTGTGAGATCCCACGTCGATTGGAGAGGGGAACGAAGCATTCTTTATAAGGGTGTGGAAATCTCTCCCTAATAGTTACGCATTTTAAAACCATGAGGTTGAAAACGATATGTAACGGTTCAGTTAGTGGTGGGCTTGGGCTGTTATAAATGGTATTAGAGCCAGACACCGAGCGGCGTGCTGGTGAGGACGCTAGGTCCCCAAGGAGGGTGGATTGTGAGATCCCACATCGGTTGGAAGGGGGAACGAAATAGATCCCACATCGATTGGAAAGGGGAACAAAATATTCTTTATAATGGTGTGGAAACCTTTCCCTAACAGTTACGTGTTTTAAAACCGTGAAGTTGAAGGCGATACGTAACAGGCTAAAGCGGACAATATCGGTAAGTGGTGGGCTTGGGCTGTTACAAATGGTATCAGAGCCAGACACGGGGCGATGTACCAGCAAGGATGCTAGGCTCCCAAGGAGGGTGGATTGTGAGATCTCACATTAGTTGGAGAGGGGAACGAAACGTTCTTTATAAGAGTGTGGAAACCTCTCCCTAGCAGACGCGTTTTAAAAACCTTGAGGGAAGCCTGAAAAGGAAAGCCTAAAGAAGACAATATCTGCTAGCCAGTGGGCTTGGGCTATGACAAATGGTATCATAGGCAGACACTGGGCGGTGTGCCAGCGAGGACGTTGGCCCCCCAAGAAGGGTAGATTGTGAGGTCCCACATCGGTTGGAGAGGGGGAACGAAACCTTCTTTATAAAGGTGTAGATACCTCTCCCTAACAGACGAAATTTAAAACCGTGAGGTAGATGGTAATACGTAACAGGCCAAAGCGGATAATATCTGTTAGCAGTGGGCTTGAGCTATTAAAAAACTTACACAGCAACCAATGATGGATTGTGAAAAGGATCTCCAACTAGTGGTTACAGCAACTTACTTAGCTTCTTAGTGTAACACCCGCTCATCGACCGTTCGAATCACAGGAGTTACTAATGACACAGATAATTTGCTTTAAAAACTAGTCGTGAATCATATTATTTATAAACAGTAAACGTAAAACTAAGTACTATCTCTCAAAATAACTCGTATAAGTTTTTAACAACAAAAGCACATGTACATAAAACATACTCGGAAAAGGATTCCCAGAAGACTCTACCCTGACTGCCTCGTCACATCGGTTGCTCTGCATCACGTTTATCTGGAAAGAAAAATTAAAATAATCTTGATGAGTAAACTTTACTCAGTAAGTAGCTAACTTTTCATTTACAAGTTTTTATTATTTATCTTTCCAGTTATTCTCAAGTTTTATTTACCATTGATTCCTAGTTTCTTTTACTAGGATCGTTGGTTCGTTAAAATGTATTTCAGCTATTCCTAGCTTAGGTTATTGACTCTCTATATGCTTGTCTAGCATTTTCAGACACGTATGCAAGACTTAGCCTCTTTGAACGGATGATCCACAACAATTTGAGTTTAGAAAACGGTGGACGTTGGTAGCCATGACAAGAGACCAACCATGTGAAATCCCACATCGGTTGGAGAGGAGAACGAAACATTCTTTATAAGGTGTGGAAACCTCTCCCTAGCATACACATTTTAAAAACCTAGAGGGGAAACCCGAAAGGGAAAGCCCAAAGAAGGCAATATTTGCTAGCAGTGGGCTTGGGCCGTTACGCACCAAAAGCTTCTAAAACCAGATTTGAAGGTCTTCCGGGGATGCACGGGAAGAGTGACAACCATCCTCGTTGCATTGGAGAGGGACATCGTGATTTCTCTGGAAGTTCATCAGGTTTTTCTGTATTTTTGTTAGAATGTTCATAGCCTTCGGTTCTTTCGCTGTTTAGTTCTTATTCTTCTTCTAGCCTGAGCTGTGGCACTTGAAGATAAGTCTTCTGTGTATAATATTCTCTCTTATTATACATACTTGAAGTCATCAATATAAACTTGTAGCTAATATTTCTTCTTGCATTTCCTCACTCCTGTCATTTGTGTTCATCTAGATCAAGTGTGTGTTGTTGTGCGATTCTAACACTAACGACACAAAAATTGAACTTGACAGCTTTGTACTCAACCCAGAGATAGATCTCATCGACGCACGAAAAAACCTAAACACAATAGACAAATACAAACACGTGGTTGACAATGCCTCCAAACAACCCACGAGTCTAAAATAACCTTGGATATCGCACGTGTCCAAGAGATAATGGTAATTTGTCATCATGTGCGGTCAGAGTTCAACTGACGTCCCTAATCATATCACAAGGCCTTAGTAATTTACCTCTAAATTTTATGAAGTTGTGCAAATCACGAGTATCTAAATATAGCATAGCGTCTAGTTTTTTCGAGTACTCGTTTGAATTTACATACGAAAATTGATGGCTAAATATTGTTTTGATGATGGCTAAATATTGTTTTGATGGCTAACGAAACATTCTTTATAAGAGTGTGGAAACATTCTTCATTGGTTGTAGATTATAAGAGGGGAACGAAACACTGGCTAAACATTTTACTTTCTATATCATGTACCCATGTTCCTATGCGTACGAATGGTGTGCAATTTCCTATTTGAGAATTTAGATCAAGTATCTCGTATCGGCGGGTGGGCGTGGCCAAGAAGCAGCCAGTTGACTGCTCCCATCCATTCGGCCTTTCTTCACTGTGTGAATAAGGTCTTAGGATGTATGGCCATTCTGGGCGGGTCGCAATAATTTGCTGGTCGAAGGTTTGGACCAATCGCAATTCATCACCATCGTGCCCGCTTCCAATTGATGACTGCCTATTAAATAAGTGTTGACCTAAGTCCCTGTGCTGGGGCTCGGCTCCCGAACCGTACGTGAGCTGTCTCTTCATTAGGTTTTTTAGGTTAAGTTACAATTTTAGTCTCTCGACTTTTAAGGTTTATGTCTATTTAGTCTCTAAACTTTAAAAAATGTTTAGTAAATTCTTAAACTATTACTTCAACAAATAAGTCTTTTTTTTTTTTGGGTTATTTATTTAATTTTAAATAATCTAAAACCAAAAGATTATCAAATATAATCTTAAAAATTAAATTTAATTTCATAGTCAACCAAATAAACAGAGATTTTATAAAATAAATATAATCCTAATATATTTGTCATGGATGGACGTTAACAACCCTACTAATTTTCTAAATACCGAAAGTACCCCGACGACCAGAGTCGCCCTGCAAAACCCTCTCAGCCTCTCTACACCACCGCTATATAAATAATGTAAATTACGTTTCTCCCAAACCCTTCTCGGTGCTAAACCCTAATTCTCGCTCCCTCCCCCTTTCCCGACGCCGAACTCCGTGAAGGTAATGCGAATTTCTCTCTCTCTCTTTCAATCATTCTCCGACGTCTTACTTTTGAGTTCCGATAATGGGTGAGTTTGATCGGTAGCCGTAGCTATGAAGTTTGGTGGATTGTTACTAGACCGGCCATGGGAGCAGCAGTTTTGTAGTTTCGAGGAACTTCTGAAGTATCATAGTGAAATCATGATCTTCATTGGATAATCTAATGTGGTTATTGGAATTAGATGCTATTTTTTTCCTGTAGAAAGGATATATTGCGGTTGCCTTAGTGATGCTTGAAGTATGTTTATTTATATGGTTTTAATGTGGAAGGAACTGAAGATTTTTTCTTTGGTTTCAGCTTGGACTTTTCAGTGATTTGTTTGACTAACGTGCAATGGGAATGGTTTTGTATTTCTCAGGTGTATTGGGGAGGTCGTGAAGATGCTTGTCTTGTTCGAGACATCGGCGGGCTTTGCCCTGTTTAAAGTTTTGGATGAAGGAAAGCTCAACAAAGTTGAGGTAGATGCTGTTTGAAAATTGTTTAAGAGTATATTTCGTTTGAAGGTGGATGTGTAAAAATAGCTATTTTTTATGGTTTGGTGGTTGCCTAATGTTCATTGGCAATAGTAGAAGTTAAGTAGAGAATGTGTCGTTCACTTGATTAAATATATATCATAAGTGAATATATGTATGTACTGATTTCTTCCAATGTTTATGGATCTTGATTTTCGAACTACTTTGAATGTAGGATTTATGGAAGGATTTCTCCAATGCAGAATCTGCTAGACAGGTAATCTCTCTTAATCTACAGCCACTACCACATTCGCATCCATGTTACCGGCATTCTTTGACATGGGAGATGTACTGTATTAGGGCATGAAAAATGTCAATTTGTACATTTTCCTGTTGACGTTTTTTGTGTGCTTGCTGCACCTTCTTCTATTTTGCTAGGGCCTAACATTTTGATTTCATTGTATCAGGTGGTGAAGCTCAAGGCTTTTTCTAAGTTTGAAAACATGTCAGAAGCTTTGGAAGCTACCACATTGTTGATTGACAGCAAACCCAGCAAAGGTTTGCGAAAATTTTTACGAGCCAACTGTGATGGTGAAACCTTGGGTGTTGCTGATTCTAAGCTTGGAAATATAATCAAAGAGAAGCTGGTATGTGGCTCGTTCTACAAATAACTTTTTACTGGTTTGCGTATGAAGTTATCCAATGTTATTGAGTGTCATGTACTTCTTTTCATGCAGCAAATAGATTGTGTGCACAACAGTTCTATTATGGAGTTGATAAGAGGTTTAAGAAATCAATTGAATGAACTAATATTGGGTCTAGCTGTTCAAGATTTGGCACCAATGAGCTTGGGATTGTCTCATAGTTTGTCTCGGTATAAACTGAAGTTCAGTGCTGATAAGGTTTGTTCTTTCTCAGATTTAGCATTGTTGGCTATTCAATAAACGTTTATTGTCGATATTGTTAGTGCACTTTTTCAACAAAATGATATAACTCATGTTTGATCCCATTTTCAGGTGGATACAATGATCATACAAGCTATTGGATTGCTCGATGATCTTGACAAGGAATTGAACACTTATGCAATGCGGGTTAGGGAGTGGTATGGCTGGCATTTTCCAGAGCTTGCTAAAATTATTCAGGATAACATACAATATGCCAAGACGGTGAAATTAATGGGCAACCGTGATAATGCAGCTCAGCTTGATTTCTCCGAGGTATATATATGGTATTTGTTAAAGTCCGGTGTCGCTTGTATGCTTGTTTCATGTCAATGGCTAATGTCTACCTATTCTTCCAACTCAAGCAAGTCTTGAACTAGATTATTATCTAACTGTTTGACCCACCTTTTTGGAGTTGAATGTGTTCGTGGCATAAAAATGCGATGTCGGTTTCCTTCCCAATGGAGCCATATTAATTTTACTTTTAACATTATAGAAATTCTTGTGCTGTCTACATTTCCAAATGTTGATTTTTTTTATGCATATTTCATTCTAGATATTGCCAGAGGAGGTTGAGACTGAGCTGAAGGAGGCCTGTATGATATCAATGGGAACTGAAGTTAGTGATCTTGATTTGATAAATATTAGAGAGCTCTGTGATCAGGTCCTTTCTCTTTCTGAATACAGAGCCCAACTGTATGATTATCTAAAAAGCAGGATGAACACCATTGCTCCTAACTTGACTGCCCTCGTCGGAGAGCTTGTCGGTGCCCGCCTAATTGCCCATGGTGGAAGTTTACTCAATCTTGCTAAGCAGCCTGGAAGCACAGTGCAGATTCTTGGAGCTGAGAAGGCTCTGTTCAGAGCTCTCAAAACAAAGCATGCAACTCCCAAGTATGGTCTCATCTATCATGCATCCCTAATTGGTCAGGCCGCTCCAAAGCTCAAAGGAAAGATCTCTCGGTCTCTAGCTGCTAAAACTGCGTTGGCAATTAGGTGCGATGCTCTGGGCGATGGCCAAGATAACTCGATGGGTCTTGAAAACCGCGCTAAGGTACTCTTCTTCTTGGTATCTTTTTCATTTATTTGTCTTTTAAAGATCTATGGAAGTGTCTGAAACATGACCGTTTGTTTACTCAGCTGGAAGCAAGGTTAAGAAACCTCGAGGGTAGAGAGTTGGGACATGTTGCTGGTTCGGCTAAAGGCAAACCGAAGATCGAAGCCTACGACAAGGATCGGAAGAAGAGTGTCGGGGGCTTAATAACTGCTGCCAAGGTCTGATTGTCATTTCACAATCTGTTATTCGTCCACTTGTTTATAATAGACACTGACTTTTCTGTTTTATGTAGACATACAACACCGCAGCGGATTCTATCATCGGTAAACTCGAGAAGGCTGTTGAGGAGGAAGCAAATGCCCCTGTAACTGTTGAAGGGAAGAAAGAAAAGAAGACGAAAAAGAAGAGGGCAGCAGACGAAGAGGAAACGGTTAAGGAGGACGATTCGAAACCTGAAGTCGGAAAGGACGAGAAGAAGAAGAAAAAGAAGAAACAAACCGAAGAAGTACAAAATGGTGACGAGGAGAAGGAAAAGAAGAAGAAAAAGAAGAAGAGAACGGAAGAACCCGACGAAGTAGAAGAAGATGGCGGCGGTGCGGAGGAGGAGAAGAAGAAGAAAAAGAAGCGAAAGCACGCGACGGAAGACGAAGAAGAGGAAGCGGCCGAGCAGGCTAGCAAAAAGAAAGAAAAGAAGAAGAAGAAGAGAAGTGAAGATCGAGTGTGTTAAGGAAGGAGGAGGCAGTTTTGTTAGCATAGGGTGTATAATTAGATTGATGGTGGTGTTTGTTTAATTAAGTTATTATATCTGAATCTCTCTCTAATGTATTCTCCAATCTCTTACAGATTCATATCTCGGGGAGGACAAAACATTGTTCTAGTTGGAAGAGCTTCTTCAATAAGGCGCTCTCCGGCAGGGAATATGGTATTTGTGATTCCAATGTTCTTTGGCGGCTATTATTATCCTGTTTAATTTCTTGAATTTTTTATCCCTTAAATTAAATTTGGGTCTTTCATTAGGCAGAATAGTTCATGATTTAAAATTCATTGACTTGTTGCAAATTTTCATGTCCTTAGGGTCGGCCGATTATTGAAATAATTGAAATTAAAAAAATTGCAATGACTTGGACTAATAATTGAGAAATGAGAAATTAAAATTTTATATTTGAATATATATATATATATATATTAATTAGTTGAAAATGGTTAATATTTTGTTCTAGAAATATATTTTAAAAATTTTTCATTCATACTACTTTTAAAAATTCTCTTTTTACATTATATTTTAAATTTAAATTAATAAAATTATCCCTATATTTTAATTGAATATATATATATATATATATATATATATTATGTATTTATTTATTAATTAATTAGGTGAAAATGGTTAATGTTTTGTTTTAGAAATATATTTGAATAAATTTTCGTTAATACTAAATTTTTAAAAAATAAGAAAAATGATTCTTAAATTTTCTTTTTTTACAATATATTTTAAAGTTCAAGTCAATAAAATTATTTCTATATTTTGTTATTTGAATGCTGTTAATATTTTGTTTTAGAAATATATTTGAATAAATTTTTATTAATACTGCATTTAAAAAAAAAAAAAAAAAATTAAAATTTTCTTGTTACATTCCTAAGCAGATGATATATTATTGATGTGATATATTTTTTTTTTGTTGATCAATGTTTATATAATATCGGGTAACCTCGTCATATATTTTATCTTGTCCAAATATGTTTGCAAGTGAAATAATTGTCTTTTCAAATAATTATTTCTTCTAACCGTGGCGGCATATCTTTTCGAAAGATAGTTGAGTTCTCTTGTCTTTAGTTATGCTCCCAAGTTCTGAAACTTACGAAATCTCGTTTCTATACTAGCATCCCTCTGAGCCATCTCTTATTAGTGTTATGACACCACACCTTGTCGCAGCTCGGGCTACTAAGTCCATTCTTTTTTGTACCGACAATTAAGGATTGTTTACTCTTTTATTGCATAAGTTCAAAAAATACGGATAAAAATAGAGTATTAGATAGTTTTTCAACAAAAATACCAACCACTTTAATAATTTAAAATATGACATTTTTAAAATTTAAATATATTTTTTAGTTTTTTTTTTTAATTTCAAGAGTATTATCCAAATTTTTAAAACTTCAAAATTATAAATTATATTTAAGTCAAAGTACAGGGTATTTTTATTAATTTAATAAAAATTATTTTAGTTTCATTTTGGGCCATTGAAAATTAGAATAATATTTTAAATTATTAGAAATTAATAAAATATTATGATCAATTATATTTCATTAATTTCTTTTTTTTAGGTTCTCGTGGTCTATGTGCTTAAAAAAAAGCTATATTAAAATTAAATATTTATGATTTTTCAGGCAGTCAAATATTACAAAATCATATATTAATTATATTAAAAACCTCTGTCTTCAACTATAAAGACAGTTTTACATTATTAATATTTTTTAAAATTATTTTTCAAAAGAACATTAGTAATTAATTAAACTATAATTTAAAATATAATTCAGTTTTAATTTATTTTTTCGATTTAAAATAAATAAATAAATAATAAATACAAATTATTATTTTGAACCATTTCTTCGTTAAATGTCAAAATGAGTAAATTCCAAAAAACTGCCAATTTCATTACAATCAGTACACTTAACTCTTACCCGGACACTTGCTCTCTGTTCATTCACCAACGACCTCGCATTTCACCGGAGGAGGAGGAGGAGGAGGAAGAGATACGGAGGGGCGGTGGGTTTGAATCGTTGAGGACTTGTGGAAGATCTGTTTCTACTGATTTCACGAGCTTTTTCTCAGTTTATATTCCCGACACAGTTCGTTTCATCTCGAAAAAGGTCTTTCTCCATCTCTGTTTCAAAAGCTAATTGAATATAATTGTTGTTGTGGATTCCGATTTGACTATAGACAGCTTTCTCTCCCTGAAAAGTTACTGCTCTATTTGTAATTTGGCTGCTTTTTGTTTGTTTTATTGACAATCGGTTGATGTTTTATGAGTTTATGTTGGATGCGTGGCGTAAGGTTGTTTTGTTTGTTTGTTCGGTTTTTAGATATCAGGTTTAGAAGGGGGATTTGTTGTTTGCTATGGAGAAGAGAAATGGAGCTTGATTTTGAGCAATGGGATGTATAAATAGCCGAGAGGTAGCTTCCAGAAACTTAGCAGATTCCGAGGATAAGAAGGAGAAGAGCTCTGAATTTGGTGATGATTTGGAAAGGAAGGAAGCTGATGCGGCTGTTGTTGATGTTACTCAGAAGGAAGGGCATGGCCATGGGGCTCAGCCTTTGACAAAAGAGCAGAGAAGAAAGTCGAAACCTAACCCCAGACTGAGTAATTTGCCAAAGCAATCACAGGGGGAGCAGGTGGCGGCTGGATGGCCTTCTTGGCTCACAGCAGTCTGTGGGGAGGCACTCAGTGGTTGGATTCCGAGGAAGGCTGATACCTTTGAGAAGATTGATAAGGTTTGTTGTTTATGTTTGAGAATCATTTGGCTATCTAAGTGGTTTTTGATACTATTATGGTGTAATTTTCGCTATCTAAGTGTTTTTCTTATGTGTTCTAAGTAGCCCAAACAAGATGTCCAAATAAGAACATCCATGCCTAGACTGATAAACTATTCATACCAAAAGGATTATATCCATTGATAAGTTGTTGTTTAACCATAGATAAGTGGAAGATTCATTAAATTGTGATACGTTACCTTGCCATAATGTGATGTGCTTCCAGTGCCAATAAAAAGTAACCCATCCAATGGTATTTAACATCCAAAAAATGGCCGAATAAAAGGCATCCCAAGCCGAAATATCACAATTACCACCTCGTCTCAGACCATCACAAGGAAAACTATGACCAAAATCCTTTCTATCCGGCATTAATTTGGAATCACGTGCATCTAAAGCACCGTTTACTAAGATCTTCATTCCATCACTTTTCTCTGCTATAGTTTACTTGTGTTGTATACAGAACTGTTCATGATGATTAGGAAGTGATTTTCCATATCATTTGAGATGGTGACTGCAGGGGTGGAACCAAATTTTTCATGATGGGAATTTTTTTTACATTCTAACCTTTATATGTACATCTTCTTAAGCACAGATTGGACAAGGAACATACAGTAATGTGTACAAAGCAAAAGACACATTGACCGGTAAAGTTGTTGCACTGAAGAAGGTCCGATTTGACAATTTAGAGCCAGAGAGTGTAAGATTTATGGCTAGAGAGATTCTCATTTTGCGGCGCCTAGATCATCCTAATGTTGTAAAGTTAGAGGGTTTGGTTACATCAAGGATGTCATGTAGTTTGTACCTTGTGTTTGAGTATATGGAGCATGATTTAGCTGGACTTGCTGCAAACCCATCCATCAAATTTACAGAGGCTCAGGTTGGTTAGTTCATATTTAATTTAATTTTCAATAGTGATGCAGATTGTAATCTTTCTTCATTTGAGAGGGAGTTCTATTGTAGGTCAAGTGTTTCATGAAACAACTGCTATCAGGACTCGAGCATTGTCACAACCACAGGGTGCTTCATCGTGATATTAAGGGTTCGAATCTTCTTATTGATGGTGAAGGGATGCTTAAGATTGCGGACTTTGGACTAGCTACTTTCTTTGATCCAAAACTCAAGCACCCTTTGACTAATCGTGTTGTTACATTATGGTATCGATCTCCGGAGCTTCTACTAGGTGCAACTCATTATGGTGTAGGCATCGACCTTTGGAGTGCAGGTTGTATTTTGGCAGAGTTATTAGCTGGGAGGCCCATAATGCCTGGCCGTACAGAGGTAATTATCTGGTTTCGCTCACTCGACCACATTCTCCTTTTCAAAGTCACCTTTCAACTAGATCTGATTGGCTTTATTATGTTTACGGCCCTGGGCAGGTTTTCAAAAGAGTGCCAGATCTTAGTCATTGGGACAGCAGTGTTTTTATTTTTGTTTAAGAGGAAATTGTACATTGTAGGTTATCTATCTCTGAAGAATTGAACCTTGGTGCGTTAAGTAGGGTAATGTGAGTATGTGAGCGAGGAAACGTTTTCATGCTCGTTGTTCTTCCATCTTAATAAAAGTTGGTTTCCATGAACATAGGCATTTACTTCTTATTAAGTGAACTTACAGCTTTAGGATTAAAATTCTTCATTCTTTATACAATCAGTATGAGCTGCTCAGTATCTACCTATGCTTCCAATTCATCTCGGTGTCGATAATTTATGATGTCGATATATGAATGCACATATGGAACTGACATTCTCTTCTATTTACATCTTAGTAGATATTAGTGCATCTGATGTCTTTACTGCTCCCTAGGTTGAACAACTACATAAGATATTCAAGCTGTGTGGCTCACCTTCAGATGAGTATTTGAAGAGAGCGAAGTTGCCCAATGCAGCCTTATTTAGGCCGAGAGAACCTTATAAGAGATGTATAAGAGAGACCTTTAAAGATTTCCCACCATCATCATTTTCTCTTATAGATACACTTCTTGCAATTGATCCCGCTGAGAGGACGACAGCTAGAGATGCATTGAAAAGCGAGGTGACGCCAAAGTTTGTGTTATTTGTTTTGATTGATGGTATCATATTTGCACGATATTGTCGCTTCTCCTTTCACATTTCACTTCTCTCTGAGCTTCGTATTCGTTTGTGTTGATAATGGCAGCACATTCTAATTGTTGATGTTATTATTTCACGTTGTTTTGCAGTTTTTCATTACAGAACCTTATGCATGTGAACCTTCAAGCCTCCCCAAATATCCACCTAGTAAGGAGATGGATGCTAAAAGACGGGACGATGAAGCGCGAAGGTTTGATACCTCAATACTTCTATGTTGCTCGGGTTTTTTGGTGTTTACTAGTTCATTAAGACTTGATACTTGATGCTTGGTGTTAGAATCATTTCTTTTAATCTTTTTAATGAAAAACAAGTGTTCATCATGAAAAATGAAAGAATACCAAA